TGGGGGCGCCGCGCCCCTCGACTTCGCCGCGGCCCCTTGGGTGAGGGAGGCGTCGCCGCCGCGCGGCCCCCGGGGCTTCCCTGAGCCGGGGTGCTTCCCGCCCGCGGAGCTCGGGCGCCGGCCACAGGTCCCGGCTGCCCCCGGCTTCCGTTCGCGACGCGGCTGTCCTGGGCTGAGCCTGCAGTCCCGGGCACGCTCTCGGGACCGAGCGTCGACAGGACTCGCGGACCGCCGCCTCCCGCCACCGCGCGCACCGGCTGAATAGCAGAAGCACCCCCAGCCCCTCGTCGGCCCCGCCCCGATCCCTCGTGGCCCCGCCCCCTCCTGCCTGCCCCGCCCCTCTGGATTCCGTTCCATCTTCCTCGAGGGCCCCACCCTCCCCCGGCACGTGATGACGTAGGACGTAACGGCGGCCCCCGGTAGCCATCTTCGTGAGGTCCGGGGGAGGGTTCCCTGGAGGTAGAGCTGCTTCCAGCCTGGTGAGAGAGAGGTGCGACACCCAGTTGCGCACAGGCAAACGGTAGTAGACCATACTGTTTATAAAATATATCAGGATGTGCCGAATGGGGAGCGTCGCTTCACTTACTTGAGAGACAGGGGTTGGCTAACTTGTGCTAAAATTAAAGTAAACTGGCAGACAACCAAAGGGACTAAGTTTTTTCTAGCTGGGAAGACTTCAAAAGGCCAGATTCGAGTTGAGACTGGAACGCTTGGCGCTTCCTTGGCCTTTTAAAAAAAAAATGTTTTTGTCTCCACACTAAACAGGAAAATAATGAAATAAGGGGATGATTGTGTATTGTGTCATGGCAGAAGATGTGCAGAAATGTAGGGAGTGGTTAATATCATTGAGAGGTTGCTGGATCATTACTGTTGAGAGGTTCAGATTAGATGAGAACTGAAGATGTCATTTGTAGCTTCTCAACATGACATCATTGATGACTTTCATGAATGCCGTGTTGGTGGGTAATGAGCCTGGAAGTCACGTTGCTTGAGGATAAATGGCATCCTCAAGCAGACAATTCTTTTTACAAGTTTGGCTGTGATGGGAGAAACATCAGGTGGTAAGCAGAGTGAAGGGTTAAATGCGGGTTAAAGAGTTTTATTTTGGTTTAGTCTTTTAATGGGTGATACTTCAGCAGTTGAGGAGTGGGGAAGGGAGGGAGAGAGAGAAACACCAGGAGCAGTAAAGGAATGGTCGATATTTTTAAAAAAGCAGGAGGGAATGAGTGCCAAAGCATCAGTGGGTGATTAGGACCCTAGAAAATTAAATGCCAGTAGAAACAGCTCTTCTAGGGCTTTGCTGTTTATTCAACATGGTGCACAGCTTCTCATTGGAGTTATAAGAAAAGCAGACTTTTGTTTGTTCTTACTGAGTAAGAATCTGAATTTAACAAGAACTCCCTGGTGATTCAAATGTATCTAAAGTTTGAGGAGAAGTTCTCTGCAGTAGTGGAAGGCAAGGATGGTGAGAGAGATGTAGTAGGCGGGTAAATTTTGGATCAGAAAGATGAAGGAGATGTGATAAGGGTGTTCTAGCATGAACTACAAAAGGACAAGTGTGTTTTGTAGTTGACAGTCTTTTATTATAGTTTTAGAAGAGCATAAAGTGAAAGTGATCTGAGAAGTGGCAAGAGGGAGATAAGTGGACATTCACCCCATATCTTGGATGTGTGGTAAAAGAAAATAATTAGGCACTATTTGGGAGAACTTATAAGAAAGTAATAACTTCAGGGAGAGCAAGCTTTTAGTTTGAGGCAAAAGATGGAGCAAAGTCCAAAGAAAACAGTGCACATAAGGGGAATTTGCTGTTTATGAATTAGCAACTCCAAGGACACAGAGTCAACCATCTTTATTTTATCTTTTCTTGCATTTCTTCGTCTCTCTATTCTAACTCACATAACCATTCTATCTCAAATGTGTAAGTGTAAAATAATAATTTTCTCTTAGCTAGGATCTTAAAGGGTGAAAAATTTATATCAAAATTTAATTTATTGATTCTGTAACTTATAACTCCTCTTCAAAAAAAGGATATACTTAATATACTAAATCCAGTGAACCAATCTTAATTTAGTGATTTTTTTTTAAACACGTTTGCCCTTTTTAAGGTTGTTAGCTATTTGGTACAGTCATTCTCTGTCTTATTTTGTCTTACTTTCATACCCTTATTTTCTGTGTTTGACTTTAGGATTAGTTTTGTTTTCCAAAAATCATACTGTGCTGTATTATATATATTACATAGTCAGTTAAGTAATGAATCTTCGTAATTGCCAAGATTAAAATAAAATATCAATAAAATTTTCAGAATTCATTTTATTTTAATAGTGATAACATGAACTTCCCTTAGCATTTTCTCCTTAAGATAGTAATAAAACCAAGCTTTATAGTGTAATGCCATTTAAAAAAAAAAAAAAAGGTAAGCTGCTACTTGTAGAAACTACTGCTTTCTCCTTGTATCACCATTGTAGAACATGGTTCTCAAAGTGTGGTTTGTGGCTATCTGCTAAGATTTTTACGTTTGGTAATGAGTTTTTTCTTTTTTTAGTAACTTTTTTTGGTAACAATTAATTTATCTTTAAGAATGCATTAACTTTTGACTGTCTTATCCAAAGAACACTGTCCTTTTAATTAGTCGAAGTGAGCTTACTTTCAAAGGTTTCAGATGTAGCCATATGTCTGTAGGTTCATTTTCCCTTCTAAATAGTATGAGAAAAAGAAATTAGTTTGGGGAATGCTATTATAAATAGCAGCTGTTCTAGAACACAGGAAAATAACCAAAATGAAGGTTAAACCTATTCTATCACAGTTTGTGCATTCATTCATTCATTCTACTGAGCAAGATGTTTTAACTTCCATAATATACCAGACACTATTGGTTATAGTAGTGATACTAGACATGTACTTACCCTCTCAGAGTTTATATTCTAATGGGAAAGGCAATAGTCAAATAATTAAACAAATGTATAATTGCAACTATGAGCCATGCTGTGAAATGAGTACTGTGAGAGTGTGTAACAGGTGGATTTAATGTGGTAACGAGAGGTTACCATGAAAAAACTAGAGCTGAGTTCTAGGTGCTGAGTTCTGAGACACGGGTAAGCATCTTATAGGTGCCCTGAAAAGGGAAGGGTCTTCCATGCAGATTGAACATTTATCACAGTTTTGATCTCCTCTTGAATTCTGTAGCTCCTTACTCTGGACTCTGAGAATTATTTATTTCACTCATACCCTGCTTTTAAATCTTAGATCACACATTATAGCTATATCAAGTATTTCAGGGAGCGTAGCCCATGCTTCCCAAACTGCATTGAGGCACTTACGAGCACCATCACAAACTCACAGGGTCACCATCATGGGATATTTTAAAATTTGGGGGCCAACACAGCGACACCAGTCAGATAGCAAGCAAACCACAATCTTGAGGTAGTTCAGAACTTCAACCTTAAATTGTACTCTCTTCTTTTTGATGACATCTTATCTTGGAAGTTGCTGTGATGAAGCACAAGGACAGTGGGAAAATGAATACAGAATGGGAAATGAGTATAGTGGTTTCCAATTTGATTCCAAGATTTGAGAAGTTGTAAATTGCCCAACCAATGTGTACATCCCGTTAAGAATGAAATAAAAAATTTAAATGTTTGTTTTTTCAAGTAGATGTCTTGCTCTGTCACCCGTGCTGGAGTGCAGTGGCGTGATGATGGCTCACTGCAGCCTCCATCTCTTTTGCTCAGGTGATCCTCCCACCTCAGCCTCCCAGATAGCTGGGACTACAGGTACACACCACTATCCCCAGCTAATTTTTTGACTTTTTGTAGAGATTTTTTGCTATGATGTCCAGGCTGGTCTCCAACCCCTGGGCTCAAGCAATCCTCTCACCTTGGCCTCCCAAAGTGCTAGGATTATAGGTGTGAGACACTGCGTCCAACCAACATGTATATTTTAAAAATAGTTTCTAAGTTGTTAGGGTAGACATAAGTTTGGACCTAACTATTTAATAACTAGAATTATTAGGTATTTCTTTTAGCTGTGACATCATGAAAAAATTACCGAGACATGAGGAACGCCATGGACTGAGAAAGTTTGAAAACCTTTGGCATAATTCAGTACTTCATTTAGCAAGTAAGGAACTGTGGGCCCGGAGAGATTCGGTGACCTGCTCATCATAGCCTAGACTCAAGGACTTATGATTTCTACTCCATTCTAAAGTGTATAATTTATTTCACTTTGTGCTGTCCTAATTCATTTCTTTAAAATAATCAGTTTCCACATTATTTGCTTTAACTCATAGCACTGAAAAACAGACATAAATGTCTAAGGGCTATTTGTAAACACTTAATGTCTTCTTTACTAGCTTGAATACAACAGTGTTATAGAAATCTAAACAAGTAATTAACAGGTGTTCAAGAATTTTAGAAATATATTCTAGCTAATGACTATCTTAACTCTGGCAAAGAATCTACAATACAATATAGAAATAATTTGTTATTAGTCAAAATTATTTTTATTCACTTATGGATAATGCTTTGCTATAAGAAACATTAAGATTGTTAACACATGCAAGAATATTGTCTATTAAAATGTTAATATGCATTCAGTTTAGATTTTTTTTTTGATTTTTGGACCTCTTCTCATTAATTTGAAGTTTGATTATGGGAAAAATTTT